ATCATATTGAACTGTTTAATGCGTTTATGATGAATGCCAGAATAAACATATCGAAGCTTAAGAAATTGGTTAAAATCTTTTATAAAAGATTCTGAAGCGCTATCCATATAGAAGCTGTTTTGCATATGACAATTTGGTTGCCTCATCTTCATTAGAGAAGGTCATTGGCAATGTATTTTCATTTCAGCATCTGTACAAAATTCTTGGGGATGCGACCAATTATCTTCCTCTATAAACTCCCCAGCTTAACATCTTCGATTAGGCAGTAGTCAAAAACTTCAATTGATATAAGGAAAACAGCTGGTTGTGGGCTCTAGTTAAAACCTGAATTTACAATACAGAATCTTTCAAGTTTTGTTTGACTTGGAACATAACCAGGCAGCATTCCTCTTTTATCATTTTAAGAGAGATGATCTATTAAGAAGTTCAATGAACAGCTGAACACCATAACAGTGGGAAAGATTCTAACCAGTGTTAGAGTCGAAGAGATAAGTACTCCTGCCTCTTACTAAATGAAAAATGGTATCCTTCTTCGATCTGAAACCAATAATTGGAGCAGTGAGAGCATGAGTTGCCTACACATAATAGGCCCTGTTGTGATAGGATTTCGGACAATTGACATAATGATTGAGAATAAAGATATTAAGTTTACCCAATTAGGTGGTTCTAGTTTTCTTCTGTTTTCTGTCTCATCATTTTTATCAATTGAAATCAAACAAATGCAGTCCAACATCACTCAAGTATCCTTTTACCTTGTATTTCCAACATAAAAATCACTTTTTGGCGTGCTTTGCGTGATGACCCACTGAATCATGTTAAGTGCATTGTGTTTATGTTTGATGCATCAATCGGTTTCTGATCTTTGGTTTTCTTGTTGGTTTTTCTGCAGAGAGATAATGAAGATGAGGAGTTGTGTAGTGTTTTTGTCCCAACAAATCATCTATACATAGGCGATATATTTCTTGTTAACTCCAAAGAGATCATAAGACCAAATCTGTCTATTCGAGAAGGCATAGGTAAGATTCTCCTTTTGGCCTGACATAGGTAGGGGTGGCAATCCATGTTTGTTGGTCGTGTTCTTGTTGTGTCATTTAGTGTTTGTGCCAAATATTCAACTCTAACCTGTCATGTTCGAGTTGACCCACATGTGTTCTAATCCCAAAAATTGAAATTAAGTTTAGTAATTTTTTTTTTTCTAAATAAAATATGTGACTTATACATCAATTATAAACTAAAATGTGTTTATTCATAATCAGCTCACTCGTGTTTGACATTAACTTGGTCCATTAATTATTCATGTTAGGGTCATGTCCTATTCATGTTTGTGTCAAGTAATAGTAAAACCCCAACCCTCATATCGGGTTTGAGTCGTTTCAACAATTTCAACCCAAACATACCTTTGGCCACATAGTTTCGAGTTTGTCTCTTTTCAACCACTTTGGGCCAGCTCCTCGGTAATTTTTGTTCTCGTAGCTATTAGGCAACCCTAACCATGTACTGTGATGATCTGGTAGACATGGATGGAGGTGTCTGCCTGCACTCAAGGTATGCTCACCTTGTTGAAAGGGTGGGTAACAGAGGCTCTTCATTATTAAAAGAATAGTAAATTAACATACGTTTTCATTGTCTGCAATAAAAACCTTCACATAATTCTTTATAATTTTTTGAAATTTTTATGGTGGGCTCAAAAAGTTTGATTCCATTTCCGATATATCCCTGTGTGGAAAATCTACGTTATTACATGCTAATGGATATCAAACATGCATTGACCCCATTCAAAATTTTTAGATATACTTCTGTCTACCAGTTCATAAGTAGTTGTGCTCAGTAGTACTTAAGCTGGTAGTTAGCCTAACAGCTGTACCTGGGAATTTGCATGTCTTCTGTGACTGAAGGGAATGCATCAATGTCAAAACTATTGCCACCAAAGCATTGAACTTTTTGACCTTCATTAGATTGCTGTTACATTTTTTTCCCCTGCCAATAATGCAGAGATAATTGTTTCTGGGGGTATGTCAATGCCCCAAATCATTTCTCCTCAACAAAGGATTGCCCAGCAGAATGAGAAAATTCCGTTGAACAGAATAAAGTGATTGCATCGAACCGAGACGTTTATGGTAATTTTATGATATTTCAGTATGTGCCATGATACATGAAGCATCTCAGTGTTCTCTGTTCGCTGGAATGATGAGATTAGGGTTGTTCATAGCAGTAGGCTTTTTGAGGAAATATTATGCTCTTTTCAGTTTTGTAGTTATACTCACATTGGGAAGTGCATTTGTATACCATATGATTAAATGATGTATCGTCTATGTTTATTTAGACAAAAAGGGCTGGAGTCTCAACAACATGATTCTTTACGTAATATATCTTGTAAAAAATAATTTCACTCTCTCTCTCTCTCTCTCTCTCTCTCTCTCACAACAACCATGAAGCATCCTGGATCTTTAAAGAATTTTTCCCATTCTCAGTCGGCACTAATTGCTGCATTATTATTATTTGAGTTTAAATCTTTATAATTAATTACATATTTTAAATTAATTTTAAATGTCCTTTTTTTAGGTTTTAACATAATTTTGCTAAATTGGCCAAATTAATAACACGGGTATTAAATTGGCCGATAAGGTAAAATACAGGGATCATTTCGACATTTAAGCATTTTGTTAATGATGGTGATTGTTGCCCTTTTTTTAAATAAAAATCTGGTACGGTTTTGCGATTAAATCCTCACAATTGCTTATTTTTGGTGCCTTTTGGATGGTGGCTGGCTGTCACAAAAAACAATAATATTTTGAAAGGGTAAAGTGCTGTTTTACCCCTGGGTCATCGTCCTAGTCGAATTTTACCCCCTCAATTATATTTTCAGCCAATTAAGACCTCCAAGTCATCGGATTTTCCGTCAATTTTACTATGGTAAAATTTACTGACTTTTAGAGTTTGACATATCAAATTTTTTTTGTCTCAGTGGCATACAATTGATTCTCTTACCAATTTCATACATGTCGTCAGTCTTTCTGTTAATCTGTTAATTGTTGACGTGACAACAAATGTGCCACATAGACTGACTCATATGATGTCATGTGATTCACATATATTATTAAATTAATAAATAATATTAATTAATTAATTAAATTAAAAAACTTTAAAATAAAAAATAAAAAATAAAAAATAAAAATCTCAGCGCTCTCTCTCTCTCCCTCTCTCCTTTTA